ATTGCTGATGTTGACTATAAACTTTAACGATGCCACAGATCATTTGAAGTTAGCTTTAAACTTCTAATTATGCTCGAAATATTCACAATTAACTATAAGATTCTAATGATGATTGAAGAAATTTTTGAACCCATCCTAAAAAATTTCTGTCCCAATTAGATGCGTTGGAGTATCTCGAATTGTTGATATATGACTTGAAGAATTTTTAAGATCCTCTCAAAAGTTCTGTCCCAGTTGCAACTCTAAATGTATCTCCAGTCTTGACTTGTTGGAGGGATCCTCTTCTTGAGAATTTTTGAGTCCCTCTCAAAAATTCTGGCCAGTTTCTATTGTAAAGGAAAATAAAAATCTTGCGGGAGGTATGATGAGTCCACGATTTGGACTCATTTAGGGATTTATTTGGATAGATTTAGTGTCCTAAAATACTTAATTTGTGCCAATAACTGATGTAAAATCCTTGTTTTTCAGGTATTTGGATTGAGGAACAAAGCATGGACACTAATGGTAGGCAAAAAGGAAGGCAGCTGAAAGAACGAAGAAAAGAAGGACTGTTAATATTATTCCTAATTAGAATTAGAATTTATGTAAGAACATTATGATATTTTTCTTTTAATTAGATTTTAGATTTATTATTGTTAATGCAAATGAGGATTTTGATTTTGCTTATTATACAAAAAGAAAATTAAAATTTTTGGTGTATAGTTAATCTTTTTTCTAATTATGTTTCATATTTTCTACTTCAAGTTGATATTTCATTATTATAATTTCCTTTTATAGTGTTGTATTTCATTAGCATATTTTCCTATTGAAGTTAGATTTTTGAATCTTGTTCAAGTCAATGTCTTTTTTAATGTTAATATATGTGAATGATTTAACTTTATTGTAATATTTTAAATTATTTAATTTGCAATTTATATTATTTATAATTATGATAAGTTATTTTTATTGTCTATCGAGACTTAATTAATTTATGTAAGAACATCAAGATATTTTTCTATTGTGATTTAGTTTTAGATTTACTTTCTGTCAATGCAAATGAATATTTTGATGCGTATTTGTCGTTCTACTAATTATATTCATATAAGCTAACTCTAATATGATATTTTTTACTAATATCTTTTTCTTTTTCATTAATGTAATTTATTGATATTTTTTATCTTTGTATTTTATTAAAACATTTCCTATTAAAGTTTAATTTTTTGAATTTTATTCAAGTCAATTTGTATTTGATGTTAATACATGTAAAATAATTCAAATTTATTTTGAATTGCAAATTAATTTAGTTTATAATTTATAATATTCCTAACTATAATCAGTTATTTTTATTGTCTTTTTGAACTTAATTATTTTAAAGAAGAATATTAAAATATTTTTTATTTTATAGTTAAGCTTTAGATTTATTTCCCTTAATGCAAATGAGAACTTTGATTTTCCTAATTATATGAAAATTCAAAAAAGAAAAAGAAAAATGATGTATAGTTTATCTTTTTTCTATTCATATTATAAAACTTCACTTGATATTTCATTAATATAATTTCCTTTTATATTATTGTATTTCATTAATATATTTTCCTTTTATATTATTATATTTCATTAATATATTTTCCTATTAAAGTTAGATTTCAAATCTTATTCAAGTCAATGTCTATTTAATGTTAATGCATGTGAATGATTTAAAATTTTATTGTAAGATTTAATTATTTAATTTTCAATTTATATTATTTCTAATTATCATCAATTATTTTTTACTGTCTACCTAGGCTTGATTAATTTATGTAAAAATACTAAGTATTTTTCCATTATCATTAAGCTTTAAATTTATTTTTATTAATGTAAATTAATTTTGATTTTGCTTATTATCCAAAAAAAATGTTTAAAAAAGGTTTGATGTGTAATTTATATTTCTACCAATAATATTAATATTTGCTAACTCCAATTTCGATATTCATTAATATATAATTATTATTATTAATAATAATATTATTATTGTAATTATTATTATTATTATTGTTGTTGTTGTATTTTATTAAAACATTTTTCTATTAAAGTTAGATTTTTGGATATTATTAAAGTTAATGTCTATTTGATGTTAATGCATGTGAATAATTTATATTAATTTTATAAATTTTAAATTATTTTGGCCTGTAATTTATATTAATTTTAATTATAGTCAGTTATTTTTTATTGTCTATGTCACGACCCAAACCGAGTCGTGAGTGGCACCCACACTTAACCTCCTAGGTGGGCAAACCAATGAATTCAACCCCAACTTATATTTATCATTCAGACTTACAAAATACTAACCATAATGCGGAAGCTTAAATCTTATTAGTAGTAAGAAAACAAAAATCCATTATAGTCTACTATATGTCATTACCCAAAACCTGAAAGTCATCACATCAAGGACATCTAATCTCCAAATACTAAGTCTAAGAGTATCAAAGACACCGAAATAAATGAAATAAAGTAATTTGTGTCCGAAAACTAAGGACATTAGGTCATGACCGAGAGAATCCAACACAAGCTCGAATGAATAACTCACCCTTGAACCTGATATGTTGAGACTGGCTAGAGCTGAGGGCGAGTTAGAGTCGCTGGTACACTCGCTACACTCCATAAAAGGAAAACAAAGAAAAATACAAGTATGACTCAGTACAGGGTAACATATACTGAGTAGATATCATCGGCCAACTCAAAATAGTAACTAATATGCAATGAATAATAGTATAAAATCAACTATAGCACTTAGCAGGTGGCAAGCAACAAATGAACTAGTGTCAACAACACTAAAGTAAGTACGCAATCAGTCAACAATATCAAGATCACACATGAGGACTCATGCCTCCAAACCAAGTTATTTTGGGAATTGAGTTCTTTGAGATTGAGTACATTCAGTTAATTCAATATGTTTTCCTCTTTAATGTTATCGTGTCGGAATGTGACACTCCGATCCAATTATACCGTGTCGGAACGTGACACTCCGATCTAAGAATGTCGTTTCGAAACGTGACACTCCGATCCAATAATACCGTATCGGAACGTGACACTCCGATCCAAGAATACCGTGTCAGAACGTGACACTCCGATCCAAGAATACCGTGTCGGAACGTGACACTTCGATCCAATAATACCGTGTCGGAACGTGACACTCCGATCCAATAATATTATTAATTTATTATTTATTTTCACTACTTTTCAATTCATTAACAATATTTCATCATGCCTTCTTTATTCAAGGCATCACTTCGATATAGAGGGTTCAAGATTATAAATTCCACGGTCTCAGGATTTCAGATCAATCACAAACCACACAACCAAGATACACAATCACACTATCAAGTATTCAATGCATATCAATCATTATTAAGAGTCTATCTATCAAATAGAATAAACCATAACCTACCTCCACCGAAGAACTGAAGTCAAGCAAACTGCTTCTCAAATACTTTTCCTTTCCTCAATGCCTCCAAATCTTTCCAATCGATCAAGTATATATGCATAATTTGTAAATTAATGAGTCTATAAACACACATATTATTCTATGTCTAACCTAGACCCAAAAACTCACCTAATTCTATAATCAATATCCTAAAATTCAAACCTAAGGATAAGCCTTAATGCCTCCAATTATCATAACTTTAAAGGTATTTATGTAACATAATACACTAATATTTAATTACCTAACTCAATATGTTAAAATTTGACTCATAACAAGATAACTATAGAAAGAAATTGAAATTTAAGGTTAAGTTCTACTTCCAGTAACCTCAACCACGAAAAACAAAACAAATTATAAAACGATTTGGACCCCAGAACCCAATATTCAATTCATGTGATCAACTTTGATCCTTTAGGAAATTTGTCTGACTTGACAGTTATCCAATCCCTCTTCTCCACTTAAAATCATTCTTTAGTGAGAATAGATTATAATTCTTATACAAGCAACCCTTCCCAATTCCAATTAATATAATATTTGACGTGTACTCTTTATTAACTACCAAAATTTATCTCCAATATAATAAAGAAAGAAGTCACGTGTAGCACATTAACACTTGAAGAAACAATAATTTCCCGGGACTATACAATACTACCCATCCCACCAATAAGCATGCACCATTCTAATGGTAACTATAATCCCTTATAATTTATTTAAGGCAATTGAAGTTACCTGTGATCGGTCTTCTTCGGTAGACGCCGCAGGTATTGTTCTCTCTCGTCTACTCTTCTTTCTTTTACAGATTATTTCTTTACCCTAATTATTATACAAGACCAATTATAAAAGTATGAAAGTAACCCACTATTAATTTTTAATGTTATTTTCTTTAATCACCAACTCAATAAACTATTAAAACTACCCCAGTAATTTCATAATTATAATAACAAATAGTCTAAAATACCCATTTTGATTCTATTGGAAGAGTTTTTTATGAAACAAAAAACTCTTGTACTCAAAACGACTAAATGGATCGTTACGGTCTATTTAGACTTGACTAATTTATGAAAGAACATTAATATATGCTCCTATTATAGTTTAAGCTTTAGATTAAAAAAGATTTCCGATTATACTCATATTTTCCAACTTCAACTTAATAAATTTCATGAGTATATGAAAATATTTGCATATTTAACTTAATATATTATATTTTAATAATGTATATATACAAAATATATTTAAGGCATAAAATTTAATGAACTTCCTAATTTTCTATATGATAAAAAGATTATTTGATTAAACAATCAGTTTTTGCGGTATATAAATAGGCGTGATGTCGTTTTTTCATAAGTATCATTTGCTGAAAAACGTTTAATCAACTATCTTTTCATCAAACTCCTTATGAATTTAGACATGGAGGGAAAGAAGACTAAAGGTCGTCAAAAGATACCAATGAAAAAAATAAAATAAGGTTGCCCTGCTTACCACATTTTCAAAGCGTCGGGAGGGTTTGTATAAAAAAGCTAGGGAACTCGTTACAGAATGCGATGTTGACATTGGAATAATGATGGTTTCCCCAGCTGGTAAGCCACAATCATTTTTTCACCCTACTGTTAATGCAATTGTTTCTCATTTTCAGAATCCTGATATGCAAAAAAGCCAAGGTATTCGTCTAGATACGATTATTGCTGGAAATAAAGTGAATCAACTCAAAAACAGGCTTGAAGAACTTGATGCTGTAGAAGATGCAAGGATTGCTCGAACAACTTTTTATGACCAAATGGCAGAAGTAGGACAAAAAGGTTGGTGGGAGTCAATTGAGCAGCTCAATGCACATGAAGTGACCATATTTGAAGCTTGGTTGAGTGACACTTGTTCCAAAATGCGCCATCATTTGAACCAATTAGAAAATGGAGCTCCATCCTCATTGGGACGTGAATCTTTTGGAGTGTGAAGTCTGAAAAAATGAAATTATAGTTGAATCATGCTAGGTTATCACTTATAGATATATTAGTGAAGACTCTAGTAAGTTCAAATTTATATTATTAAGGTATTTATTTATTTTATTATTATTTCAATGATGCTACAATAATGTATTGCTATGACTTTCATTAATAATATCTGATATGGTTGGCCTGAATATTGCTTAATGAGAAAAAGTTGTTTCATGTGTTGGTCTGAAATATAATATTTGGATACAATAACACTTATATGCATTATATCAATAAATTGTTATTGATTTTTTCTTCTCAATTGATTTAGGGTTAGAAACCAAATATTTTCATTTAATAGCTTTTGATATGCGACATATGATTATAGTATACCATGATGCACAAAGATGAATTCCGCAAAGTAGATTGAGATATATGTCATTTTCTCTAATATAAAGGGGAGAGAATAAGTATGTACGAAATATTTTATTAATTATCATCAGTATTGTCACTCTACGAGTCTACACCCTGAATGTTGCCCGAAACTCTGAATTATTTTTGATTCCAAACTAACCCTTGACTTGTCTTATTGCTATATTGTAGACTGTAACAACTATGTGAAAACTATTTAAAAAATGGACATACAACTATTGTAGAAAATAAGTCCAACACTTTATAAATAAGTATAAAATAAGAGATGTTTGTAAAAAAAATGAAAGTATAACTCAACTAACTCATCTATGAAGCCTTTAATAACAAAAGATAGACGTCGAGATAAGACTTACCACTACCTGAATATTCAATGCCAACATTAAAAAAAATAGAATTGTTTAATGTTAATTAAGTCTCTTAAATGTGTTATGACCTAATTCATTAGGCCGTGCGGGCACCTACTCTAACACCTAGATAGGAGAACCCTTATTCCCAATTTAAAACATTTAATGAGGAAGTGAACAATTATAAACTATTCCCCTTATTTAAATATATGAATACTCACATTTTGTTAAAACTAAAATACCTTTATAAGGAAAATACATTGATCCCTTCCCCAAGAAACTAGTCTAAATAGGTATAAGAGCTTCTAAAGAGAACTATTTATGAAAGAAAATAAGGCATAGCTTCCACCATGGCAAAAAAGAAGTGAAAGCTGTTGGAGATCATCATCATCTTCACCTAAGAAACATCACTAAATCCTGCAACCAGACTATGCCAAGTGGCATAACAAAAGTATTATCAGTACAAACAACACAATTGGTAGGCATCATAGATCGGCCCAAATCCACCACATAATACCATAAAATAATCAAGAAAATTTGAAACTTGGAAATAAAATTAGAATCCCAATCCACTAAGTCACCACTTTTACTACAAATAGATTTACCTTGGAATTCATACACTCTATCTCATGTCACTCCACCTCCTTTCGATCACAACTCGCCCATCTTGGACATTCCACCCTCATATCAGATCATAGATTAATCGTTTCTATCACATAGAGATTTCTCGAATACAAGATCATTAATAACTCTACTAACTAGTCTACTATTCCCCCTCAAGCTCTTATGCCAATACATTAGCTTTAATTACACTCTAGTTATAAAAAATATGCATAAGCAACCCAATTTAATAAAGCAAGTAACTACAATTTTAATCCCAATTATAAGATAGTATGAACTCACAGTCTTACCTGGACCACCAAGAATTCCTAATCATTTATCTACAAGGTTTAACATGCAAATCCGGTCTACACAAAGAACACCCCGGCATTTTAAATACATTAATCAGCCGGAAACTCAAGGACCAACATGTGACACATATAACACAATAAAAAACTTGTTCCTCTCATGGAACCTACACACAACTATTAGTGCAACATTGTGGTACTCAAGCCAACCATTATTAGTGTACTGACTTGGTACTCGAGTCAATTGAATGATATTTCATATCAGGCGCAGTACCCGAGCCAACCGTTAGAAAATATATACCGGTGTGGTACCCGAGTCAACCAACAATAACACATAACATGCACAATCACTACAAAATGAGCAACCACAATTGAAGCCACAAGTAAATTAAACAGGTTCATTGCATGAGATTTATCAACGTGATGTCATTTTGTATTCACCTTTTATGTTTTTCCCACATGCATTGCACAAGTAATACTACAAGTAGTTAATATACACACATTACATAACTTGTAAAAATAAACAATCATCACCCACCTGAAGGGATCCCTTCTCCATATTTCTTAATCAAACTCTAATCACCCGCAATTACCTTCCCAAGGATAACACCAGCAACATCATAAGTTCATCAATAACTAATCAAGTCCATAATCAACCTAAACCACTGTTAAACATTCCTTTAACCATCCAGATTCTATATCCAAGATCCTATGCATGAAATCTCGATAATTCACAATATATAATTTAAGCGAAGATAGTTCTTCTATTGAGTTAAAAAACATAGCCTACCTGGGCATTAAGAAGTTGTTTAAAGAACTTGAACCCAACTTTCTGGCTCCGCAAGGCGATCCCTGATGATGGATGGTGATCCTACTTGCATAGAAATCTCTCCACTCCATTGTTCTCAAGCTTAAAGGGGATTAGCAGGGGGTTTTGGGATAACTTCAACTAAGAGGGGAGAGGTTAACTAGAAGAATCCACTCTTCCTTAGTTTTGCCCCTACTGGGCCACTATACCCGCTGACCTGCCACGTAGTAGTTCCTCTATAGAGAAAATAACTCCTCTATGGTAGGATGACATCAGCACGACTCAATTTTTAGATTTCACAATTTTATCGTGTCACCTCTATTTTAATTTGGTGACATATTTCAAAATATTTTGATACTCCGCATGAGGTGCCTTTGAATAACAACGGATCATATCATTAATATATATATATATATGTATATCAATTTACTCCTCGTTCATCTCCAAATGATTATCTAGGTCGAAGGGAAGAGAAGCTGGTCATGGAAATCATCACTTAATTTGACAAGCTCAAGAAAAGTCTAGACCTTACACGAGTTAAACAACAACCCCCGTTCTATGCATAACATGTTAGGAAATCAATGACCGAAACAACAACACAAATTTCCCCGTCCGTGGTACCTTACCCCACTATATTGATTATGATGCCCCTATGGCGGCTCATCGCATTTCATAAAAAATAAGAAAAAGAGGAATGAGTTTCTCTCCCATTTCTCACTTTCACTCTCTCAAACTTCCTATTCTCTCCCTGATCACTTCGTTTTGAATGTCAAAGCTAAGGTAACTATTGCGCTCTCAACTTGCCTACTTTATTTTACGCGTATTAACTTCTACATGCTAGAAATTGATAGGGTATAATAGGTAAGAGGGTTGATATTTGAATTAAAAAAATGTTGGTTGTGATTGTTGAAATTGTTGAAGCATGGGCTTCCCTTTTACGTATACAATACATTTATAGCGTTCTAGGCGTAAGGATTATAACGAATAGGAAAAAAATGGGTCATAATTGGTGGGGAAAGTTGAAGGGTTGTTCTTGGTTGGGAACTTCATTTCGGGCAAGATTTTGGATTTAGAAGTCCCAAATCTTTGCATATTTAGGCAATATCACTTTACAAACACTGATTTGTAGTAATTTTGAAAGAAACAATATTTTAGGCCAAGGGGCGCTATTGACGCACTCCTTTAGAGGTTGGGACGATGAAAGCCACTATATAAGCCATGCTTCTGGTATAGCGAAAGCTTTTGTAGTGGGGTAACTCCCGCAATAGCATCCCCACTATTGAAGGAAACCACCCTCTACAACGGGAGGTTGCGGACAATAGCCTTCTAGCTGACCCAAAAGGTGGATTTTTCTCTCAAAATTCTTTTCTATGTATTGAATGAGCTTTGATCCCTTTATTCTTATATTTTCCGGTTTCTATGAATACAATGGTTGTCAACACTGAAGAAAGTCTACCATTTGTGAGGTTTCCCGATGGCGTTAATCGGTAGAGGTCCCAAGAGATTATGGGGGAATGAAGTGTCACGCCCCGAGCCTACACCCTAGACATGGTCGGCATTAGAGTCATTGCTGGCCCCAAGTGAACCCTTGGCCTGGCTCAAGTCTCAGTGGAAGACTTACCAAACATAAGATAAACTCAAATATAAAGGTTTAATTCGAATGTCTCAAATAATTAACTTAAAACATTTAAAAATATTCAAACTGGTCACAAGGGAAAATCAAGTCCAGAACATTAACAATAGAAAATGAAACAGACTTCTCAACTACTAATGTCTATCTATGAAGCCTCTAAATGACAAAGATGGAAGTCGGGACAAGACCCACGACATCTTAACAAAATTGAAAAGTACATGGAATCCTCTGGAAGCAAAGAGGCTTACCAAAGCTAAATTGAACTGTTGTGGTATCAACGAAGTGCCTGTTGAAGACCCTGATATCATGTTTCTGCATCATAAAATGATGCAAGCCAAATGACATCCGTACATTGAATGTACGAACATGTAAGGAGATCACGGAACATAACATAAAAGCTTGAACTTGGAAAGAAGGAAACATACTCACCTCAACTCAACCTCAACTCATGGATACTCAACTCAATACAGTATAAAAACAATAATAAAGATGCAGTTTATATAAAACATTTAAGATAGTAGATAACAACTCAATGTATTTAAAAATACAATAATAAATCTTATTTTGGAGATTCTCTTACCGACAACCATCACTATGAGCTATGACATTTAAGATAGTAGATAACAACTCAATGTATTTAAAAATACAATAATAAATCTTATTTTGGAGATTCTCTTACCGACAACCATCACTATGAGCTATGTGATGATACAACATCTCGCCCATGCTGCTAGGACTGTCCTATACCTTGCCAGAGTATAAGACATCCTCAACTAAGTGGATCCACTAATATATGCATAAAAGACAATAAGGAAATCATCTAAAAAGTATGACCCTTTCTACCCACGTTGGCTAGATGGTTTCTGAGAGCTTTGAGCTCTTTGAACTCGTCTTCATA